CAAACGAGAGTCATGCTAATAAGAGGAACAATCGCAACACAACAGGCCTTGGCTATCGGCCTAGCTAACCTCGCTAATCGGCTTGGCTATCCGCCTCCTGACACAGAGGCCATTCCGAACAGGCTTTCGCATTCGGAGGACGACCTCTCTGGGGTGGGTAGGGAAAGACGGCTGGCTCACGATAAACTCGGAGGCTAACTCTTTGGGTATTCATCCTGGGATTCTGATCTCATTCTCCCAGATTGCCTGGCAGAGCAACTTGGCTCAAAATGCATGAATACAAAAGAAATTTTTAAAAAAAGTCTGCTTGGTGATAAACTAGTCCTTTTGTGTCATTCATAAGGATGTCTGTCCTTCTCCTGCTGTAGGTAAAGTGAAAATTCATTGGGAGGGATTGTTTTTTTCCCCATCATGCCGTATATCTCGTAGCCAAGGATTCATGAAAGGCGTCAGCTGGTAGGTCAGTAGTTCATCGTTCACGGGGACGATCCCTGCCTTGTTCGACACATACCGGTTCCCGGGCAATCTGCTCCAAAATACCGCAAGTGCAATTATCTCCGACGCACACCGCCGGGATCCCGCCGGCAGCCTATTCCGGCACGCTCAATTATCAAGTCATAAAAAAGCGGACAAAGTTTATCTGCAAAGCTCCAGGAAATTAACTGTCTTCGGTAATTGAAGGCATCGCGATCATTACCATGGATTAAGGACACGCAAATCCAATAACGAGGACTTAGAGCAGGGGAGCGGGGGAGAGAGGGGAAAAGGTGAGAGTGGGAGGGAGGATGATGGGTGGGAGCGTGTCTGCACAGAGCAGCGCTGTGGGTCACTGTCGATCCAGCCGGATGAAGTTCTGCCCCCAACAGCATCCTGGGAATGCTGGACCGAGAAGATAGAAGCTTTGTTCTCATAAACTCAATGAAACCCACTAGTATCATATCTTGTGAGAGGCCGGTGGACTCGATCTAGAGGCATGCAGCACTGATAGAATTGATGTGAATAAAAAAGTGTTTTAACACAAACACTGTAAGCGGCAAATATAAACCGAAAAGTGAACGCGAAGACTCAAAGGTTTACGTAAAAGTGCGCAGTCCCAGCAAAAGATTGGGGGGGGGGTGGGGGGAGTGGTGTCATTTCATGTGGGATTCCTTGTGATGTTTCCGGAGAGTTTCAGCTAATTTCCTGGCTTTGTTGTTCCACAGGAAGCAGCAGGTTGGGCATGAAAATATCGACAAGTTGAAATGTTCCTGCGGCCTGATGGGATGAGGTGCCACCGGCAATGTCAGTGTCAAAAAAATTTTAAAAATTTCACTCCGAGCACCCTGGCGGCTGCTGCTCCACAATGCTCCGTGGCGTCTGACTAAACAGACTCTCAGTGCCATCTCTGACATCTGAGGGACAACCTATGGTCTGAGGACTGCTCCAAGCTAAGTGCCCTCCCTGATAATGCAATGAGAAAGTAAAATAAATTCCAATAATAGAAAGGGCTTTAGCATATGGTGAGCGATCTGCTTCAGAGTGATGGGGCTCATTTGTCCCAAGAACCTCAACACCCCAGAGATGACTCATTTGGTCTGTAAATTAGTTTAAATTCCCGTTTCCCATCAGCCCCCGTATGTCTGATGGCTAAGAACTTTCTGCTGATATCCATAATAAATATTACCCTGCCGGGTGTTTTTTTAAGGTATCGGGAGACTTATTTACAGTGTGACATTTTAGGTTTCAGCAAACAGAGAGGCAGCCTTTAATGCCACAAGTAATTCTGCAGACCTGGCAAGGCAATTAATGTGGCAGCGTCCCCCCTCCCCCTAAGGTGGGCATGGAGGCGTCTCATATGGCTGTCACCAACACCTGACCCCCCCCCCCCCCCCCCCGCCCCCCCCCTCCCCCCCCCCCACCCCCCCCAGCCCGCTCCTAAACCCGCCATCCATCTCCATTACACCCCAGAAAATGGTATTTGTCACTTTGCAGGGCAGAAATAATCAATATGTCTTCTGGGGGCAGCGGGTGCATTAAATGTGGCAAATTGATGTCTCTCACCCAAACCATACTCCCAGGCAGATTGTCCGCTACCTAATGGGGAGCCGTGTAGGTCTGCTGGGGGAAGGGTGTCCGTGTGAATCCAGTGTGTGTGTGTGTGTGCGTGTGTGTGTGTTCGCGTGTGAAACAGACACAGGAGAACAGAGGGTGAAACGGAATTTATGTCTGCATGCATGTATGTGTGTGTGAGTGTGTGTGTGTATGTGTCCATGCTTCTGGTGCAACCGTCTGTTTCCAAATCTACCGCTGATCCAACCCAGGGCCCACCAGGCCTGTCTGTCACGCCTCGCCCTGGAGTAGGACATGCCAAACCCACTTATAAGTGATCGCTAAGCTGCGAGATTTTCCTGCCGCGGGGATTCCCGCTCTCGTATGAGGTAACGGGAAGTCATTGACTAAAAACGAACCCCAGCTGATTAGTGCCTCCTGACAGCTACCGTGAGCCGTCGCGATACCCGCCTTCCAGCTTACAACCTGGAAATAAATCCCTCGTCCCAAAGGCTGGCCAAATAACCCAGGAATATCTAAATTTGCTCATTGTTACCTGAGGATACTGGAGTCACTGTGCGATCCCCTATCACTGCAAACCTTGTCCTGCAGGATGGATCTCCAAGAACATTTGGGCCAAAATTCCATTATCCTTTTTTTTGAGTTTGGAACCAGATCTGATGCCACCCACATACTTAGAGGGACACCAGAGGGCCTGGGAACTACTTTTCACTTGCTGGAGTCTAACTTGCCCCTCACGTCCCTCCTCTACCTCGGTCTCTTTTAGAATCAAACCCTTCGTGATAAATGATCAGCAATTTCCGGCCTTGTACTGCGGCCATCAGGTCTGACCTATTTCCCTGGACGCTTGGAGCGAAAGGTGGGGGTGGGGGGGGGGAGTGTCTAATTTGACCTTGAGGAAGACAAGATTTCAGTTTGTGAAATAAATCGCAAATGGATGGAACGGCGTAATGTGAATTCACAGCAGTTATTTGCTCCATGATGAGTGGCGGAGGCAGGAATTGTTGATATTCTGGATGTGGATCGAAGAACAGCACATTTTATATGAAAAGAACTGTGGCTTCATATCACAGACGTTAACCTAATTCCCACTCATTCATAACTGAGGAAATTCATCATCTATTCTTCATCCATTCTATAATGCGCCAAATTATCTTGTAAAAATTATGAATTATTTAAATGACACTCAGCAGACAGATTATCTGGCTGGGACAGCAAAATTTCGTTTCTATATGATAAATTTCCAGAGCTCATAAATACACAGAGAAGTCTAAATTGCTCACACCTATGCTAGCATTAATCTAAATGCACATTTTTAATGGTCTGACTAGTCTCCTCTT